AACTCCCAGAATTCCCCAGCCAGCATGCTGGCTGGGGAATTCTGGGAGTTGAAATCCACACCTCTTCAAGCGGTCAAGGTTGAAAAACAAGGGTTTAATTAAATTAAACATTGTTTAAACTTGAGTTAAGCAGGTTGTGTGAACCCAGCCAGAGTGAAAAGGCACGCAATGCAAGGAGAAAAATTAACCAAGGTCGTCCATATGTTTCAACTTAAAAAGAAATGCAGTTGGGCTCAGTGGGTCTTACTCCTAAATAACAGTACAATTTCATCAGCTGAAGGCATTTTTTTTTCTTTTAAAGAGAAGTTTAAAAATAGAATAAGAATAGAATAGAATAGAATAGAATAATAGCTTCATCGTCATTCCACTCTACACGATACAACAAGTGCTCGATAAAATGCAATCCTGTTGCAATTGGCTTACAATCATACACTAAAATACAATTGAGATACCTAAGTTAAACATGCAGACATCTAATAGCCTGGGGGACAAAGCTATTTCCAAAAAGTCCAAGTACACCTACTAGATATTACAGAGTTAAACCCGTTCTGACGAAAGCAGGACAGAATCTCAGGATATTGTAAAAATGCACCTTTTCAGCGTTGAAAGCAGTTTGAAAATGGATTGGCCCCTTCAGATCCATAAAGTCATTCGGCTCTGATTTTATAAAGTTTAAAAAGTTTCTTTACCGGAGAAATGTGCTTGCCTGAGATGGAAGAGTGAATTGCATCTCTTGCCCCCCTAAGTGAAATGGCGGGGCTAACGTTTGAAACAGAAGTTATCAGAAGCACTTTTTCCTTGGGAATAAAAATACAATAATAAGATATTTTAACAGTTCTGGTGGGCAGAATTTTTCACGGGATCGAAAGTCCCAACAAGAGGGATTCGTTCTGTTGAAGCCTGGCACAAAATCCGATTTCACTGTCCTGCAGAGCAAAGGCGATCGCTGAAGAAAACTACCCTAAAACTAGTCCTAGCTATCTTTTGCACAGACCAGTTCACTTGCTGGTGGAACTGGCCCGTATTTTGAGTTTGCCCAGTATATAAGAGCTTTGCTCCAAAACGAAAAGATCGTGCAAGAACTGACTACAATTTTAAGTTGGTCAGGGTGGGGGAAGGAGAAGAAAAGCAGAGATAAGCATATGGAGGAGTAGAGATAAAAATTGCTGTGTCCTCAAGCCTTAAGGTTGGAGGGAGATCCAAGCTTTGAATGGGACTTTGGTTAGGATGTTAGGAGAGTAAGTGTTCTTGAGGATTAGAAGCTGGAAATGGAAAATTGCAAGCAGAAGATCCCAGACAATGACACAATTGCCTGGCTGGACCTGTGGACTGAAACTTCGGCAGCAGCAAACTCTTTTTTCAAGAGTTGGGGTGCTATTTTTTCATCTTTTTAAATTTCGAAGGGAAGAAAGAAGGAGAAGGATTTGACGTTGGGCTTCCAACTCTCAATACTGTCTGAACACTTGATGGATGGATGGATGGATGGATGGATCGGTTGCCATCCAGTCAGGGCTGACTCTTAGCGACAACTTAGTATTCATTGAATTGATCAATCAATATCGATTAAATTAAAACAATTTAGCAACAATTAAAAAGCTCCTCTCCCATGCACACCTACACAAGTTAGGTTTCAGGGGGGAGGAACAGAAAAAGGGGGATTAATTTTTTTATTTTTAAAACACAGTTCTAGTGCGGATCACACCCTTCTGGGCTGAATTCTGACCAGATACACTCTGTTCCTTAATTCTTACATTCAATTTCACATTTGCCTTTATTTAAGCATGGTTTATGAAATAAGCCACAGTTTGCACATTCCACAGTGTTCAGCCATGAGCCACGGTTTGCAAATCAGAGGGGCTGTGTTGCTAAGCCAAAATCAAACAAGCCACATTATCCTTTTGCAGATGTGTACATTCAGTCAGTGAGTATTTTGGCTTCCCTGGACAAGCTTTTTGAATTGGTTCCCCCAAACATTATCTGTTTCCTTTTTAAAGAAAGAACACCTCCCGAGCCTGAAGTTTGCTCTAATCTGGTAAGGCAGGCCCACATTCAACTGGAGAAGCTTTCTGTCTCTGCCATGCCAGGTCAAGCCACACCTGCTGAATGTTTGCCTGGTTGAGAAACCCTGCCAGATGACAGCTTTAGCCAGAATGTATAGATCAGCTGAAACAGCTCACCCCATCGTGCTGGGGGGAGCTGAAACCCCAACGGGAAGACCCAAATGCTCCAAATGTGGATAAATTTATCCAAATCTGCTGGAGAACTTTGACCTTGCTGCAGAAATTATCTTCCGAAGCAGGGTGAGAATCCATTCAATTAATTTCACTGCTTATCAGATGGTGGATGACCACTTCTCAGCGATAAATTTCCACTCACCAGAGCTTGGCGATAGCCTGTTTTTCTCACGCCGTTTTCTCACTCACACCCTGGCTGGGATTACATCTTTAAATCATGGTTTCGTTCCACCAGGGCTTATACATCTTTACATCTTTAAATCATGGTTTCGTTCCACCAACCCATATCAAGCATAACTTAATAAGATGTGCAAACTGAGTTCCTCTGAATTCACCCCCATAGCAATTGCCCTTAAATTAATCTGGGCAGAAAATCATACGTCCTAAAAGCGAAGGTTGTGAGTCCATATTTCCCTGGGCAACAAATGCTAGAATTGTGTGTGTACTGTGTGCGGGAGAAAACAGAAACTCTCATGCAAATCAGAGAATACTTTATTACCTTCCAGTTTATTACAGTTTTTGCATGGATTATGCTGAGTGTTCAGAGGAAGCAAAGGTATTTTCTATGTGAAATGAGAACAATGCGTGACCTGTGCTAACTTTCCCTAACCTCGGTGCCCTCCAGATATCTGGATTTCAACTCCCAGGATTCTCAGCAATGGATTTCAGTTCCCAGAATTCTCAGCAACTCTGTGATGAGGGATGCTGGGAGTTGAAGTCCAAACATCTGGAGGGCCCCCCATTTGGGAAGATTGTCCTATGTTGCTTTCTCCTCCCCGACTCATTGGTTGAGTGCAGACAACACGTTAAACTAAAATGTAGTTGGTTTATTGAGCCTTAGCATATGAACTCAGCCTGCTGGGTCTTGAAACCATGGCTTATGGCTCCCCATTTGGGATCATGGTTAAGCAAGCCACAACTCTGGGGTATGTCTCTGCCCCTAAAGACTTACAGTATTATATTAATCACAGAGGAAGCACGATCGTGACTGAAAGCATGGCATTCAACCAGTCTTTCCAACATATTTGGCTTTGGATTGATTATGTGCTGTCAAGTTCGGTGTCAACTCTGAGCAACCATGCAGATAGATTTCTCCAGGAGGTTTTGTCCCTAACCTGGTCCTTCACGTCTTTCAACACTGCACCCATCACCGCTGTAACTGAGCCCATCCCCCTTGCTGCTTGGTCATCCTCTTCTTCTCTTTCCTTCCACCTTTCTCAGGATTATGGACTTCTGTAGGAATTGAATGGCTTGCCCAGATAGATATTGATGGATTGATTGATTGTGTATCACTAAGTCAGTGCAGACTCTTAGCAACCACACAGATAGATTTTCTCCAGGAGGATCTGTCCCCAACTTGGTCCTTCAGGCCTTCCAATGATGCACCCATCACCGCTATAACTGAGTCCCTCCACCTTGCTGCTGGTCATCCTCTTTCCTTCCACCTCTCCCAGCATCAGAGCCTTCTCCAGAGAGTTGGGTCCTTGCGTAATATGTCCTACGTAGGATAACGTGAGCTGGGTCACTTGTGCCTTGAGTGAGAACTCTGGGTTGGTTTGTTTGATGTTCCATTGCTTGTTTTCTTGGCTGTCCACGGCCTTCTCAGCATATTAGAATATCCCTTCTGGGAACAGATGTTGCAATGAATGGCCCATTCAGAAGGACTTGCAAAGATCTGGAGGGTGATTGGAGACAGGGATGGAAGACAAGCTTATAATTCTCCTTGACTCCCTCTCCATCTGTTACAGTCCACCTTTCTGGATCTCTGATTCCCAGGTGAGCGGGAGATGCCGCGGTCATTTTTGGTGAAGAATAGGAAGGTTCGCTCTTACCATCATCGTGCAGTAGATGACAGCGTCCTGGTGCCAAAGTGGGATACAGGAACCTCAGCAGCGTTCTCTGCTGGTAGGTTGGATGATTTAACCACCAATAATCTAGAAGTGGGGCAGGCTGTACACCAAAAGAAACTTCTTCTTCCCCATCTCTCCTGTTTTTACACAAATGTCTCTGCCTTGGGCCCATTTTTGGCTGTTTTTTCTTCCTTATTCAATACCTGGAATGGAAGCCCTGTTGGAATAACCCAGCCCAGAATACCCCATTGAAATGTCACTTCTCTTATGCCACTTCTAAACCATAGAACTTGGTTTTTTTGAGAATGGTCTTCTTCCCCATTCTTTCTCCATTTTCAGAAAGATAACAAAGCACTTCTCTCCCAAACTGTTTCTATTGGATATTTTAGTACCCTTTAGGCACATCTCCCCTCCCCTCCCCTCCCCCTTCCCCATCCATCGTCCCTTCCCTTCCCTTCCCTTCCCTTCCCTTCCCTTCCCT